GAGCTCTGGGTTTAGTGTGTGCTGATCGAGCTCTGGGTTTAGTGTGCGCTGATCGAGCTCTGGGTTTAGTGTGCGCTGATCGAGCTCTGGGTTTAGTGAGCGCTGATCGAGCTCTGGGTTTAGTGTGCGCTGATCGAGCTCTGGGTTTAGTGTGCGCTGATCGAGCTCTGGGTTTAGTGTGCGCTGATCGAGCTCTGGGTTTAGTGTGCGCTGATCGAGCTCTGGGTTTAGTGTGTGCTGATCGAGCTCTGGGTTTAGTGTGCGCTGATCGAGCTCTGGGTTTAGTGAGCGCTGATCGAGCTCTGGGTTTAGTGAGCGCTGATCGAGCTCTGGGTTTAGTGTGCGCTGATCGAGCTCTGGGTTTAGTGTGCGCTGATCGAGCTCTGGGTTTAGTGTGCGCTGATCGAGCTCTGGGTTTAGTGAGCGCTGATCGAGCTCTGGGTTTAGTGTGCGCTGATCGAGCTCTGGGTTTAGTGTGCGCTGATCGAGCTCTGGGTTTAGTGAGCGCTGATCGAGCTCTGGGTTTAGTGTGCGCTGATCGAGCTCTGGGTTTAGTGTGTGCTGATCGAGCTCTGGGTTTAGTGTGCGCTGATCGAGCTCTGGGTTTAGTGTGAGCTGATCGAGCTCTGGGTTTAGTGTGCGCTGATCGAGCTCTGGGTTTAGTGTGCGCTGATCGAGCTCTGGGTTTAGTGAGCGCTGATCGAGCTCTGGGTTTAGTGTGCGCTGATCGAGCTCTGGGTTTAGTGTGCGCTGATCGAGCTCTGGGTTTAGTGTGCGCTGATCGAGCTCTGGGTTTAGTGAGCGCTGATCGAGCTCTGGGTTTAGTGTGCGCTGATCGAGCTCTGGGTTTAGTGTGTGCTGATCGAGCTCTGGGTTTAGTGTGCGCTGATCGAGCTCTGGGTTTAGTGTGCGCTGATCGAGCTCTGGGTTTAGTGTGCGCTGATCGAGCTCTGGGTTTAGTGAGCGCTGATCGAGCTCTGGGTTTAGTGTGCGCTGATCGAGCTCTGGGTTTAGTGTGCGCTGATCGAGCTCTGGGTTTAGTGTGCGCTTATCGAGCTCTGGGTTTAGTGAGCGCTGATCGAGCTCTGGGTTTAGTGAGTGCTTATCGAGCTCTGGGTTTAGTGTGCGCTGATCGAGCTCTGGGTTTAGTGAGCGCTAATCGAGCTCTGGGTTTAGTGTGCGCTGATCAAGCTCTGGGTTTAGTGAGCGCTGATCGAGCTCTGGGTTTAGTGAGCGCTGATCGAGCTCTGGGTTTAGTGAGCGCTGATCGAGCTCTGGGTTTAGTGAGCGCTGATCGAGCTCTGGGTTTAGTGAGCGCTGATCGAGCTCTGGGTTTAGTGTGCGCTGATCGAGCTCTGGGTTTAGTGTGGGCTGATCGAGCTCTGGGTTTAGTGTGCGCTGATCGAGCTCTGGGTTTAGTGTGCGCTGATCGAGCTCTGGGTTTAGTGTGCGCTGTTCGAGCTCTGGGTTTAGTGTGCGCGGATCGAGCTCTGGGTTTAGTGTGCGCTGATCGAGCTCTGGGTTTAGTGTGCGCGGATCGAGCTCTGGGTTTAGTGTGCGCTGATCGAGCTCTGGGTTTAGTGTGCGCCGATCGAGCTCTGGGTTTAGTGAGCGCTGATCGAGCTCTGGGTTTAGTGAGCGCTGATCGAGCTCTGGGTTTAGTGTGCGCTGATCGAGCTCTGGGTTTAGTGTGCGCTGATCGAGCTCTGGGTTTAGTGTGCGCTGATCGAGCTCTGGGTTTAGTGTGAGCTGATCGAGCTCTGGGTTTAGTGAGCGCTGATCGAGCTCTGGGTTTAGTGTGCGCTGATCGAGCTCTGGGTTTAGTGTGCGCTGATCGAGCTCTGGGTTTAGTGTGCGCCGATCGAGCTCTGGGTTTAGTGTGCGCTGATCGAGCTCTGGGTTTAGTGTGCGCCGATAGAGCTCTGGGTTTAGTGAGCGCTGATCGAGCTCTGGGTTTAGTGAGCGCTGATCGAGCTCTGGGTTTAGTGTGCGCTGATCGAGCTCTGGGTTTAGTGTGCGCTGATCGAGCTCTGGGTTTAGTGTGCGCTGATCGAGCTCTGGGTTTAGTGTGAGCTGATCGAGCTCTGGGTTTAGTGAGCGCTGATCGAGCTCTGGGTTTAGTGTGCGCTGATCGAGCTCTGGGTTTAGTGTGCGCTGATCGAGCTCTGGGTTTAGTGTGCGCTGATCGAGCTCTGGGTTTAGTGAGCGCTGATCGAGCTCTGGGTTTAGTGAGCGCTGATCGAGCTCTGGGTTTAGTGTGCGCTGATCGAGCTCTGGGTTTAGTGTGCGCTGATCGAGCTCTGGGTTTAGTGTGCGCTGATCGAGCTCTGGGTTTAGTGTGAGCTGATCGAGCTCTGGGTTTAGTGAGCGCTGATCGAGCTCTGGGTTTAGTGTGCGCTGATCGAGCTCTGGGTTTAGTGTGCGCTGATCGAGCTCTGGGTTTAGTGAGCGCTGATCGAGCTCTGGGTTTAGTGAGCGCTGATCGAGCTCTGGGTTTAGTGAGCGCTGATCGAGCTCTGGGTTTAGTGTGCGCTGTTCGAGCTCTGGGTTTAGTGTGCGCTGATCGAGCTCTGGGTTTAGTGAGCGCTGATCGAGCTCTGGGTTTAGTGTGCGCTGATCGAGCTCTGGGTTTAGTGAGCGCTGATCGAGCTCTGGGTTTAGTGAGCGCTGATCGAGCTCTGGGTTTAGTGTGAGCTGATCGAGCTCTGGGTTTAGTGTGCGCTGATCGAGCTCTGGGTTTAGTGTGCGCTGATCGAGCTCTGGGTTTAGTGTGCGCTGATCGAGCTCTGGGTTTAGTGTGAGCTGATCGAGCTCTGGGTTTAGTGTGCGCTGATCGAGCTCTGGGTTTAGTGTGCGCTGATCGAGCTCTGGGTTTAGTGTGAGCTGATCGAGCTCTGGGTTTAGGGTGAGCTGATCGAGCTCTGGGTTTAGTGTGCGCTGATCGAGCTCTGGGTTTAGTGTGAGCTGATCGAGCTCTGGGTTTAGTGTGCGCTGATCGAGCTCTGGGTTTAGTGTGAGCTGATCGAGCTCTGGGTTTAGTGTGCGCTGATCGAGCTCTGGGTTTAGTGTGCGCTGATCGAGCTCTGGGTTTAGTGTGCGCTGATCGAGCTCTGGGTTTAGTGTGCGCTGATCGAGCTCTGGGTTTAGTGTGCGCTTATCGAGCTCTGGGTTTAGTGTGCGCTGATCGAGCTCTGGGTTTAGTGAGCGCTGATCGAGCTCTGGGTTTAGTGTGCGCTGATCGAGCTCTGGGTTTAGTGTGACCTGATTGAGCTCTGGGTTTAGTGAGCGCTGATCGAGCTCTGGGTTTAGTGAGCGCTGATCGAGCTCTGGGTTTAGTGTGCGCTGATCGAGCTCTGGGTTTAGTGTGAGCTGATCGAGCTCTGGGTTTAGTGAGCGCTGATCGAGCTCTGGGTTTAGTGAGCGCTGATCGAGCTCTGGGTTTAGTGTGCGCTGATCGAGCTCTGGGTTTAGTGTGCGCTTATCGAGCTCTGGGTTTAGTGTGCGCTGATCGAGCTCTGGGTTTAGTGAGCGCTGATCGAGCTCTGGGTTTAGTGTGCGCTGATCGAGCTCTGGGTTTAGTGAGTGCTTATCGAGCTCTGGGTTTAGTGTGCGCTGATCGAGCTCTGGGTTTAGTGAGCGCTGATCGAGCTCTGGGTTTAGTGTGCGCTGATCGAGCTCTGGGTTTAGTGAGCGCTGATCGAGCTCTGGGTTTAGTGAGCGCTGATCGAGCTCTGGGTTTAGTGAGCGCTGATCGAGCTCTGGGTTTAGTGAGCGCTGATCGAGCTCTGGGTTTAGTGTGCGCTGATCGAGCTCTGGGTTTAGTGTGGGCTGATCGAGCTCTGGGTTTAGTGTGCGCTGATCGAGCTCTGGGTTTAGTGTGCGCTGATCGAGCTCTGGGTTTAGTGTGCGCTGTTCGAGCTCTGGGTTTAGTGTGCGCGGATCGAGCTCTGGGTTTAGTGTGCGCTGATCGAGCTCTGGGTTTAGTGTGCGCGGATCGAGCTCTGGGTTTAGTGTGCGCTGATCGAGCTCTGGGTTTAGTGTGCGCCGATCGAGCTCTGGGTTTAGTGAGCGCTGATCGAGCTCTGGGTTTAGTGAGCGCTGATCGAGCTCTGGGTTTAGTGTGCGCTGATCGAGCTCTGGGTTTAGTGTGCGCTGATCGAGCTCTGGGTTTAGTGTGCGCTGATCGAGCTCTGGGTTTAGTGTGAGCTGATCGAGCTCTGGGTTTAGTGAGCGCTGATCGAGCTCTGGGTTTAGTGTGCGCTGATCGAGCTCTGGGTTTAGTGTGCGCTGATCGAGCTCTGGGTTTAGTGTGCGCTGATCGAGCTCTGGGTTTAGTGTGCGCTGATCGAGCTCTGGGTTTAGTGTGCGCCGATCGAGCTCTGGGTTTAGTGAGCGCTGATCGAGCTCTGGGTTTAGTGAGCGCTGATCGAGCTCTGGGTTTAGTGTGCGCTGATCGAGCTCTGGGTTTAGTGTGCGCTGATCGAGCTCTGGGTTTAGTGTGCGCTGATCGAGCTCTGGGTTTAGTGTGAGCTGATCGAGCTCTGGGTTTAGTGAGCGCTGATCGAGCTCTGGGTTTAGTGTGCGCTGATCGAGCTCTGGGTTTAGTGTGCGCTGATCGAGCTCTGGGTTTAGTGTGCGCTGATCGAGCTCTGGGTTTAGTGAGCGCTGATCGAGCTCTGGGTTTAGTGAGCGCTGATCGAGCTCTGGGTTTAGTGTGCGCTGATCGAGCTCTGGGTTTAGTGTGCGCTGATCGAGCTCTGGGTTTAGTGTGCGCTGATCGAGCTCTGGGTTTAGTGTGAGCTGATCGAGCTCTGGGTTTAGTGAGCGCTGATCGAGCTCTGGGTTTAGTGTGCGCTGATCGAGCTCTGGGTTTAGTGTGCGCTGATCGAGCTCTGGGTTTAGTGAGCGCTGATCGAGCTCTGGGTTTAGTGAGCGCTGATCGAGCTCTGGGTTTAGTGAGCGCTGATCGAGCTCTGGGTTTAGTGTGCGCTGTTCGAGCTCTGGGTTTAGTGTGCGCTGATCGAGCTCTGGGTTTAGTGTGCGCTGATCGAGCTCTGGGTTTAGTGTGCGCTGATCGAGCTCTGGGTTTAGTGTGCGCTGTTCGAGCTCTGGGTTTAGTGTGCGCGGATCGAGCTCTGGGTTTAGTGTGCGCTGATCGAGCTCTGGGTTTAGTGTGCGCGGATCGAGCTCTGGGTTTAGTGTGCGCTGATCGAGCTCTGGGTTTAGTGTGCGCCGATCGAGCTCTGGGTTTAGTGAGCGCTGATCGAGCTCTGGGTTTAGTGAGCGCTGATCGAGCTCTGGGTTTAGTGTGCGCTGATCGAGCTCTGGGTTTAGTGTGCGCTGATCGAGCTCTGGGTTTAGTGTGCGCTGATCGAGCTCTGGGTTTAGTGTGAGCTGATCGAGCTCTGGGTTTAGTGAGCGCTGATCGAGCTCTGGGTTTAGTGTGCGCTGATCGAGCTCTGGGTTTAGTGTGCGCTGATCGAGCTCTGGGTTTAGTGTGCGCTGATCGAGCTCTGGGTTTAGTGTGCGCTGATCGAGCTCTGGGTTTAGTGTGCGCCGATCGAGCTCTGGGTTTAGTGTGCGCTGATCGAGCTCTGGGTTTAGTGTGTGCTGATCGAGCTCTGGGTTTAGTGTGCGCTGATCGAGCTCTGGGTTTAGTGTGCGCTGATCGAGCTCTGGGTTTAGTGAGCGCTGATCGAGCTCTGGGTTTAGTGTGCGCTGATCGAGCTCTGGGTTTAGTGTGCGCTGATCGAGCTCTGGGTTTAGTGTGCGCTGATCGAGCTCTGGGTTTAGTGTGAGCTGATCGAGCTCTGGGTTTAGTGAGCGCTGATCGAGCTCTGGGTTTAGTGTGCGCTGATCGAGCTCTGGGTTTAGTGTGCGCTGATCGAGCTCTGGGTTTAGTGTGCGCTGATCGAGCTCTGGGTTTAGTGAGCGCTGATCGAGCTCTGGGTTTAGTGAGCGCTGATCGAGCTCTGGGTTTAGTGTGCGCTGATCGAGCTCTGGGTTTAGTGTGCGCTGATCGAGCTCTGGGTTTAGTGTGCGCTGATCGAGCTCTGGGTTTAGTGTGAGCTGATCGAGCTCTGGGTTTAGTGAGCGCTGATCGAGCTCTGGGTTTAGTGTGCGCTGATCGAGCTCTGGGTTTAGTGTGCGCTGATCGAGCTCTGGGTTTAGTGAGCGCTGATCGAGCTCTGGGTTTAGTGAGCGCTGATCGAGCTCTGGGTTTAGTGAGCGCTGATCGAGCTCTGGGTTTAGTGTGCGCTGTTCGAGCTCTGGGTTTAGTGTGCGCTGATCGAGCTCTGGGTTTAGTGAGCGCTGATCGAGCTCTGGGTTTAGTGTGCGCTGATCGAGCTCTGGGTTTAGTGAGCGCTGATCGAGCTCTGGGTTTAGTGAGCGCTGATCGAGCTCTGGGTTTAGTGTGAGCTGATCGAGCTCTGGGTTTAGTGTGCGCTGATCGAGCTCTGGGTTTAGTGTGCGCTGATCGAGCTCTGGGTTTAGTGTGCGCTGATCGAGCTCTGGGTTTAGTGTGAGCTGATCGAGCTCTGGGTTTAGTGTGCGCTGATCGAGCTCTGGGTTTAGTGTGCGCTGATCGAGCTCTGGGTTTAGTGAGCGCTGATCGAGCTCTGGGTTTAGTGTGAGCTGATCGAGCTCTGGGTTTAGTGTGAGCTGATCGAGCTCTGGGTTTAGTGAGCGCTGATCGAGCTCTGGGTTTAGTGTGCGCTGATCGAGCTCTGGGTTTAGTGTGAGCTGATCGAGCTCTGGGTTTAGTGTGCGCTGATCGAGCTCTGGGTTTAGTGTGCGCTGATCGAGCTCTGGGTTTAGTGAGCGCTGATCGAGCTCTGGGTTTAGTGAGCGCTGTTCGAGCTCTGGGTTTAGTGTGCGCTGATCGAGCTCTGGGTTTAGTGAGCGCTGATCGAGCTCTGGGTTTAGTGAGCGCTGATCGAGCTCTGGGTTTAGTGTGCGCTGATCGAGCTCTGGGTTTAGTGTGCGCTGATCGAGCTCTGGGTTTAGTGAGCGCTGATCGAGCTCTGGGTTTAGGGTGAGCTGATCGAGCTCTGGGTTTAGTGTGCGCTGATCGAGCTCTGGGTTTAGTGTGAGCTGATCGAGCTCTGGGTTTAGTGTGCGCTGTTCGAGCTCTGGGTTTAGTGTGTGCTGATCGAGCTCTGGGTTTAGTGTGTGCTGATCGAGCTCTGGGTTTAGTGTGCGCTGTTCGAGCTCTGGGTTTAGTGTGTGCTGATCGAGCTCTGGGTTTAGTGTGTGCTGATCGAGCTCTGGGTTTAGTGTGCGCTGTTCGAGCTCTGGGTTTAGTGTGCGCTGATCGAGCTCTGGGTTTAGTGTGCGCTGATCGAGCTCTGGGTTTAGTGTGAGCTGATCGAGCTCTGGGTTTAGTGTGCGCTGATCGAGCTCTGGGTTTAGTGTGCGCTGATCGAGCTCTGGGTTTAGTGAGCGCTGATCGAGCTCTGGGTTTAGTGTGCGCTGATCGAGCTCTGGGTTTAGTGTGAGCTGATCGAGCTCTGGGTTTAGTGTGCGCTGATCGAGCTCTGGGTTTAGTGTGCGCTGATCGAGCTCTGGGTTTAGTGAGCGCTGATCGAGCTCTGGGTTTAGTGAGCGCTGTTCGAGCTCTGGGTTTAGTGTGTGCTGATCGAGCTCTGGGTTTAGTGTGCGCTGATCGAGCTCTGGGTTTAGTGAGCGCTGATCGAGCTCTGGGTTTAGTGAGCGCTGATCGAGCTCTGGGTTTAGTGTGCGCTGATCGAGCTCTGGGTTTAGTGAGCGCTGATCGAGCTCTGGGTTTAGTGAGCGCTGATCGAGCTCTGGGTTTAGTGTGCGCTGATCGAGCTCTGGGTTTAGTGTACATTTTGATACATTGTTCAGAAGTCTTAATATCTTCAGACATTTTGCTTCTTCTCCAGTAAATGTATCTTGATTTAAGAATGTTTCGATATTTGTGCTGGAAAACAAGACAGAAACACTGAGGAAGAAGATGATTTTATTCGCAGTGTATGAGTATTAATGGACGAAACGCACTTGTTCTGAAGCGAATGTGACGTCGAACTTCAGATATTCATCTACGTGTGTTTGTCAACGTCTCAATTATAACAAATTCCTTTCCATTTAGGGTTAGACGAATCTCGAATGAAAGAAAACCAGATTTCTATGCTACGATACATGGAAAGATTGAGTGATCGGACCAGAGTAATGATCCGTCAGTTGTTGGATCTGAAGAGCGTTGGCCTCCATCGAGCGCTCAGGTCAAAACAACCCGAGCTCATGACACGACATCAGCTTTACTGACACGACATGAGTTTAATGCTGTGTTTGGGTGTGGAGAAGCTCGTCCCCAGAGAGAGATTGAGCTCAGACGACCCGTGGCCATTAGCGTCGAGCTGAAGCACAAGTTTAAGCGTCCTGTGAAAACGAGGAGGCCAACAGGTGTGTTTCGTCCGATCACAGTTCCTCGCGCTGTTAACCTTTAGCTTTCACAACCTCTGCTCAATAGAAGCCCATTAAGGTCACGTCCACCGAGAGATCGGCCAAATCAATCACGCTTGGAACGAGAGAGCAGAGACACGTCACTGAGAGCCTTACCCTGATCATGACGGGCCGCTGAGATGAAGACGAGCCTGTGCTGGACATCCGACGGAGGAATGGATCTGTCCTGGGAGAAACTGTCAGAATGATCCTGCAAAAAGGCCAAACTAAAACTGTCAAGTCTAAAGAGTCAAGTCTCCTTCACCTATCCAGCGCTGTAACAGCACAGACGGTTCCACAGCAGCTTTACAGTGATAACAGGAGATTACAGTCACAGAGAGTGTTTAGGCTTTACAGCAGCTCTAGAATAAAGTTATTGTCCAGCTAAAGTTAGTTTTGATTGATTCACTTCCGTTGTAAAGATCATTAGTGATTAACTTAGGGGCCGCTAACACGACACCGCTCTACTGAACACAGAAACTTTAATGTGTTCTGGCCGTTCATCCGCACACAGCAGCGTTAGAGCTCCAGAACACACACTCTGAAACAGGATCCAAGGGGCGAGCGCTGAAAATTTTGAAAAAACGTCATCATCTCTGTGTAAACTTCAAAAAAGTGAATCTGAGAAAAAATTTCATTTCATTATAGAGGAATAAGTGTTCATTTAAAAAAGAAGTTTTCTTAATCTCAAAATTGTTCAAATTTAACTAATTCTTAATGCTCTTTTTATACAGACACACTTGTATTATTCCTGTACATTTAAGCAGACAACAAGCAAAATTATCATCAACTTTATTGTTTAGGAAATTCAAAAGATTCCATTGAAAACCCGTTTACAACATTGATCGAGTCGTGACTTGTGGAAAAGATTCATCCGCCACTGAGGAATCATGTGTCGTTTCCAAACATCAGCAGCCGGAGGGGAAGACTCCGAACCGCAGCGTTTACACGATCACAACACACAAGCTCTCCTTCATTTCCCCTTTAGCATGTTAGCAACACCATCGTGGATCCGAATGACTCTTTAAAGCAGCACGTCACTAAACCATCACCGATTCCCGTCTGTCAGCTACACGTCAGTGTGAAAATGCACTTGATTTGATTTTAGGACTTCTTGTTTTCGTCAGGTTGCAATATTCATTATGACAGTTTGGTGTCAGATATTCCAACACAATAAAATCTCTAATAAAACATATTTCAAATCCAGTCCGAGCAGAAGCCGTTAAAACTGTGTGTGCTTGGACTCGAGAGCTTGTGAAGATCTGAAGTGTCCAGAGGAGCATCAGGCACTGGACGAGACGCCGGAAAGTCCCACGGGAATAAAGCATGAGCTTCAGCTTTGGCACCGTCATATCTATCAATACCAACACTGAGAGCAATCGAACCGTCCACATTCTGATGGATGTGTGTGTGGAAATCCACTGTCATTTCAACGCTGGGTTTGTGGAAGAGATTCAGATTCAGATTCATCCCCGTTTGCTGGAAAACCCTCGAGGTGTTTATTAGATCGTGCCGATTTGCTCTGATGTGAAACATCTTTCGCTGCCATTGAGTAAATGAGAAAACATGTAATCTTTCACAACATCGTGTCTTTGTTGAGTTTTTACGGTGCGGATCCTGAGGGACGCACGCATGCAGAGGGAATATTCTCCTGTCTATTGATTGTGGAGTCATGTTCTATTGTCAGAAGCACGGTGGGAAAACATAAGGACGGTGTGTGTCTCCTCTGATATGAGCGGAGCGTAACGAAAGTCTTGCATATAAACCAGCAATCTGACCACACAAGCAGAGAAATGACAGATTACAGGTTAAATGACCTTCATTTCACTCCAGATTCTCATTAAAACACTGTAACACTGATGAATAATTGGACTGGTTTAAAAGCGTGAAGGTCCGTTTCTCCGCAGAAGTTCAACAGTGGCGAATCAAACTGGGAAAAGGCCTTCGCCACAGCAGGACCGACGGAGAACTGGGATCCGGATCCACACGGGAAGAGCCGCCACGGGTCAGCCGTGAGACGAGAATATGGGCCGACTGATGTTACTGTTCGTGGTCATGGCCGTCAGCTCCCACCTGAGGACACACACACACACACACACACACACACACACACACACACAGTTAGAGGAGAATATGGGCCGACTGATGTTACTGTTCGTGGTCATGGCCGTCAGCTCCCACCTGAGGACACACACACACACACACACACACAGTTAGAGGAGAATATGGGCCGACTGATGTTACTGTTCGTGGTCATGGCCGTCAGCTCCCACCTGAGAACACACACACACACACACACACACAGTTAGAGGAGAATATGGGCCGACTGATGTTACTGTTCGTGGTCATGGCCGTCAGCTCCCACCTGAGGACACACACACACACACACACACACACACTAAAGGGATTTGTGTCCCTGCAGGAGGCCGGATGTGTGCCGGCTCTCGTTAGACTCATTAAGATAAGACGCCACTTGACAAGTTGTGTTCTCCATCACTATCAGACGAGCGTCTCCTACACACACACACACCAGCTCCAGTTAAACACACACACACCAGCTCCAGTTAAACACACACACCTTCAGAAACAGGCCTTAAACACCAGCACACACACACAATCACATGTTCAGATTCTGGATTCAGAGTCATTATCAGAGACATTCACATCTCTACATCTGCTACTGTTTATGGCCTGTTTGTCTTTATGTTAGATAAGAGTAAAACTAATAGTTCTGACTACCGAACTAATAAAACTGACTGCAGAATTAAATAAAGCATTACAGCATAACAGCAACTGCAACAACAAGTCATTACAGAGAATTTAAGTCGAAATGCCTGATTAATCTTAAATAGAAACACTAGTCATTTAATTTGAGAGTTTGATGATGCGTTAAACGATAACAGTTTAGGTTTTTTTAGGCATTATGCTGAAAACACAATGAAACACAAATGTGTTCATAAAATATAGCATTTTATGAAAAACTCCACTTTGGCGTGATCTTCGTCGTTATTCCAGATCGGTTTGACGAATCAACTTGAATTCCATAACTTATTGTTGCCGTGGTCTGAAGATGATCTGATTTGACTTTTGTGAAAATCTGATCAATGGTCTCGGAGGAGCTCGAAATTTCTGAATTTTTTTTTTGGCGGAAACTGACATCATCAGTTCGAACCGAGGAATCGGAGGAAAAAAGAGTTGTGTTTCTATGCCTTCAGACAGTTGGTTGCGCTAGAGGGATTGAGTGAGAGACTATGGTATCAGTTCAGACTGTCCTCTATCTGTGTGACACTCAGAACCTTCCCACAGATGTGTTCGACCACTCATGAAACTACTGACTACAGAACTGACTAGCCACTGGAGTGCCTCAGGGCTCAGTGCTGGGACCGCTTCTCTTCTCCGTCTACATGTGATCACTGGGATCTGTCACTCAGAAACATGGTTTATCCCATCAGTGCTATCATCTAGCTCAGGGATGGGCAACATCGGTCCTGGAGGGCCACTGTCCTGCAGAGTTTAGCTCCAACCCTGAAAAAATCACCTGCCTGTAACTTTCTAGTAATCCTGAAGAGCTTGATTAGCTTGTTCAGGTGTGTTTGATTAGGGTTGAAGCTAAACTCTGTAGGACAGTGGCCCTCCAGGACCGAAGTTGCCCATCCCTGATCTAGCTACTGGAGTGCCTCAGGGCTCAGTGCTGGGACCGCTTCTCTTCTCCATCTACATGTGATCACTGGGATCTGTCACTCAGAAACATGGGTTTCCTATCACTGCTACGCTGATGACACACAACTCTACCTCTCATTCCAGCCGGATGATCCGACGGGAGCCGCTCACATCTCAGCCTGAGACATTTCTGGCTGGATGAAGGACCACCACCTTCAACTCAACCTTGCGAAGACAGAACTGCTCGTGGTCTCGGCCAACCCAACACTGCACCACAACTTCTCCATTCAGCTGTAGGCTCGTCATCCATAACTCCATCAAGGTCAGCCAGGATTCTTGGAGTTGTGAGTAGCCGCGTTTCCACTGTCAGGCCAGGGCCGAGCCGTGCTAGTGCGTGCCAGGGCCAGTCGCGTTTCCACTGTCACTTCCGGGGCTTGATCGGGGCTTACTCGGGGCCAACGGCCAGGATTTCTGGCCCGTCGAATACCTTGGGCCAAAGCGGGCCAGCTCGGGCTAGAGGCGTGGTTACGAACAGAGGCGGGGTTTACCTGAGTCTGGAGACGACAGCGCCGGATGATTCTGTCAGCATTAAATACTTTTAAAATAATTTAACTCACTTTCATGTTTGAATGCCTTCTGTTTGTGATCCGATGTGGATTATGATCACCGTTTAAGATAGAAATATGTATAGGCCTACGCGATGCAAAAGACTATGCGCGTTGCATTACCATAGTAACCATATAGTAGCTAAGATCCGCATGGTAAAAAAAACATGGTGAACGCTTGAAGAAATCAGACCAATCTTAAAGGCTATCACAATCATGTTTTTATTTTATCTGTCAGTAGCATACGTCTCGTCTCTTTATACCGGACTATCATAAAATAAAGCAACTTTTTTTTCGGGAGCTTTCTGTTTATCTGACTGAAAATATCTGTAGCCTACTGGGAGTTGAGAAAGTGCTAAAGCTCATCAGGTCGTATTTTTGGTAGCATATATTTGTAGAAATTATCTTTCTTTCTAAATGTGATGTAAATATGTCCTGTAACTAGCCTACCAAATAAACAGAAACAGACGCGACTGAAGAAGTAAGCGTGTCCTCTTTCTTTTGTGAAACCTAATGGTAATTTATTTCTGTGTGACTGATGTGCAATTTTGACACATTAATTCATGATCAATATATCACTTTTTATTGTAAACCTGTGGTAAAACATCGATCCTTGGGTTTTAAATATTCAGTAAACAACACAAATTTCAGCAAACGGTCGCTTTTATCATGTTTGTTTTGCAATGCACGCTGTTTCCAGTGATTTATTTCTGATTAGTTTTCTGATAAAACTTCCATTGGTTGGTGAAATGATGGGTTAGTGTGACGTTGTTCCAGAGAGGCGTGTTTTAGTGAAGCGCTGTGGAGCTTCTGGCCTGACAGTGGAAACGCAGGCCCGGTGCTACTGGCCCGAGGCTATTAGCCCGGCACGGCCCGTTTAAAGCCCTGGCCCGCACTGGCCCGACAGTGGAAACGCGGCGAGTGATGATCAGTTGAACTTCACAGACCACATTACTAGAACTGCCCGGTCCTGTAGAGAATTGCCTTATACAACATTAGGAGGATCAGGCCCTTCCTATCAGAGCTACACAACTCCTTCTCCAAGCTCTTGTTCTCTCCAGACCGGATTATTGTAATGCTCTCTCCTTCCAGCATCTGTCAAACCTGTGCAACTGATCCAGATGCTGCAGCTAGAGTGTGTTTATCGAGACGAAGAGACGCACGTCACTCTCCTCACAAACCTGCACTGGTGGCCAACAGCCGCTCGCATCAAATTCAAGTCGCTGACGTTTGCCTACAGAACAACCACTGGCTCTGCTCCCGACGTACGTGCCATCCAGAAACTTGCCATCTCAAAGAGGCACAGAATCTCTTTCTCGGACCATCACCTGGCCTGGGTTAGGGTTAACTGTTCCCTGCTGGAGTTAGGGTTAGGTTAGGTTAGGGTTAACTGTTCCTGCTGGAGGAATGATCTGCCCAACTCAACCAGAGCGGCCGAGTCCGTGGCCATTCTCAAGAAACGGCTGAAGACGCATCTTTTTCAGCAACACTCGATCCATAAATACTAACACTTTCTCTTCTATTCTATATCTATTTATAATAAAAAAAATATATATATATATATACTGCGTTAGACTAAGCTGGGAAGGGTCATAGCACTTGCATATTGTTGTCCTACTGTTAGTTTCACTGCTTCTGTTGCTCTCAGTTGTAAGTCGCTTTGGATAAAAGCCTCTGCTAAATGAATAAATGTAAATGTAGAACTACTGAACTATTAAAACTACTGACTACTGAAACCGTTTCATAGTTCTGACAACAAAGAAACAGTGAGAATGTTGTGCTTTTAACAAAATGATAAACAATATTCATGGTCAGATTCATCTCACTGGAGCACAGACAATATAAACTGAAGAATATTACAATATTGAAAATAAGGATGTTTGATGTATACAGTGTGTTTGAGTGTGTCTGTACGTGTGTGTGTGTGTGTGTGTGTGTAGCTGCTGGTGTTTGGACACAACGTGCACAATGTATTTTGTCTTTGGTGAGAGCGATAATTCGTTTTACTAATTGGCTGATTTATTGTGCTTTGTTGCGGCTATGGAGAATTAAGGTGTCTTTACACTCTCCCTCCATCACGATTGTGTGAGTGTGTGTGTGTGTGTGTGTGAGTGTGAGTGTGTGTAACCTGATCAGTAAAGCAATGATCTGCTGACAAGAGCCCAGAGCTGATGAGGGTCAAGGGTTGAGGTGCAGATTGTTATCGCTGACTCTGGTTTCACACTCATTCACTAGCAGCAGCAAGCATGAGTGTGTGTGAGAAATTATGCGTGTGTGTGAGTGTGTGTGTGTGCGAGAGTGTGTGTGTGTGTGCGAGAGTGTGTGTGTGCGAGAGTGTGTGCGAGAGTGTGTGTGTGTGTGCGAGAGTGTGTGTGTGTGTGTGTATGAGAGAGAGAGAGCGTGTGACTCTCACCTGATGTCATGAGGGAGTCCAGACTGATCCAGACTGTACTGAATAACCGCTAACTTGCATAAAGTCTTCAGATTAGGACCTAAAAAACAAAGCAACAAACTCAATAATGCATTACAAGCGTTTGCTTATAAAAATAAAGCTTCAAGAGGGGTTTTCACACTGAATCCATAAAAGAACCATTTCTGATTCCATAAAGAACCTTTCAGTGATCAGTTCTTAAAGAACCATGTTATTCTTACTGTGAAGAACCTTTTGTGCAATGAAAGATTCTATAAATGCCAATAAAAAAACTTCTACATATATTATACTTCTACCTAAAAACAATATCTTTGGAATTAATGGGGTTGTTAATTTTAGTAGGGTTTATTAGACACTTAATGTTCAGTAATATTATGGATCTGACGTCACGAATAGACCTTGCTGTGAGTAATGAGGTCTGGTCTTCTGTACAGCGGACACTGATGCGGTCTCGTGATGGAGTTCGCTTTATAATAATCAAGTATAGTGGATTCCACGTGAGCAGAAGCTCTTCAGGACAGCCGTACATGTGCTTCCGCTGACGTGTGTGTGTGTGTGTGTGTGTGTGTGTGTGTGTGTGTGTCGCTGCAGGAGAGTCAGCGCTTCCCTGCTCTATCTCACCTGTTCCTGTGGAGCTGATCCGAAGACTCTGCCAACGGAAGAGCCTTTATTTGGTGCCGGATGCACCTAACCGCGCGTGTGTGTGTGTGTGTGTGAGAGAGAGAGAGACAGCGACTGTGTAAATCAGACGCTTCGTCATGCTATGATCTGATACCGATTCTCTTAGCTAGAGATATGATATTGGCCAATACCTCAAACAAGCAATTACATTAGATTAGATTCAAGGATATATCGATCCATAATTTAATAATTTTTCTCTCTCTCTGTACTCTTAATTTTGTGTTTTTAGTGATTGTGAAGCACTTTGGGCAACAGCTGTTACATTAAATGTGCTCTATAAATAAATAATTAAATGAATATTACAATAGTGTAAAATTAGAAAAATACATTAATTTAGGAAAAATAAAGTATGTTACAAAATAAAGCTGTTAAAATGTGTTTGACAGTTTTCGAGAAATGCACGCTTTGGCAGTAATGTGCGGACGGACGATACCTGAAGAGTGTCGAAATAAAGGTGCCTCTTAAAAATATTGTTTTTGTCCTTGTTTATGGTTCTGTTTGATACATTATAACCTCCTAATGTAAGATCAATCTATTGTTACACGCCGTAACCTCTGCATGACTCATGAATGTGTTGATCATTTGTCATATTTCAAGCTGTTTTTATTTAGCTTAAGTACAGCGAGGGTTAATCTTCAGCACTGCAACACACACACACACACACACACACACACTCACTGAAGTCCAGGATGTACAGGTCCGAATGGTCCATGAGGTTGAACTCGTCCCCCATCCCCTGCTCCGGACACGGACTGAAACACAAGAGCGTCATCAGCACATCAATCCCATCATGCTTCATCAAGGGTTAGAAAACACGTGACCAGCACTTTTATGATGGATAGATGCACTTTTATGATGGATAGATGCACTTTTATGATGGATAGATGCACTTTTATGATGGACAGATGCACTTTTATGATGGATAGATGCACTTTTATGATGGATAGATGCACTTTTATGATGGACAGATGCACTTTTATGATGGACAGATGCACTTTTATGATGGATAGATGCACTTTTATGATGGACAGATGCACTTTTATGATGGATAGATGCACTTTTATGATGGACAGATGCACTTTTATGATGGATAGATGCACTTTTATGATGGATAGATGCACTTTTATGATGGACAGATGCACTTTTATGATGGATAGATGCACTTTTATGATGGATAGATGCACTTTTATGATGGATAGATGCACTTTTATGATGGATAGATGCACTTTTATGATGGACAGATGCACTTTTATGATGGATAGATGCACTTTTATGATGGATAGATGCACTTTTTTGATGGATAGATGCACTTTTATGATGGACAGATGCACTTTTATGATGGATAGATGCACTTTTATGATGGATAGATGCACTTTTTTGATGGATAGATGCAATTTTATGATGGATAGATGCACTTTTATGATGGATAGATGCACTTTTATGATGGATAGATGCACTTTTATGATGGACAGATGCACTTTTATGATGGATAGATGCACTTTTATGATGGATAGATGCACTTTTATGATGGATAGATGCACTTTTATGATGGACAGATGCACTTTTATGATGGATAGATGCACTTTTATGATGGATAGATGCACCTTTATGATGGATAGATGCACTTTTATGATGGATAGATGCACTTTTATGATGG